TTTGTTTTGTTTTTATATCTACAAAAGGAAAACTATAATTGAATAATTATGGAAACAAGAATAAGAAGAAGAGAAAGAATAGACGTCTAATTGGCATCTCTTTTCAAAGACGTTAACTCTTAAAGAACGTAGAATTTAATATTCTCGTGATCCAAAAATGAACTCTTTTTAATCGTTTATGTATCGATTAAGTTTTTTTAAAAATTCAAACCTTTGTCTTCATTTATTGAACAAAGTTATTTTAAATTCTTACTATATTATTAAAGGTCGATTTTAACATTCAAATTTCCCCTTGCGAAATTTTGCATAAAAAATGCACAACCACAAAAGTTTAATGAATAATCTTTAGTATCGATTGAGAAGTTATTAAATTGAATCCAAGTCGTCATATTTATTATACAATATAGATAAATTATGGATAAACAACACATAGTTTCTATGATTCTCTGGTTTGAAGTCGTACTTTGTATACATCAGAATTTTCAACATTGGTTTTATTATAAATATTTTTAGTATGTCCTTGTATTTGACTACATACTTCTGTCGTGATATGTTCGCACAGTTGGCAATTATAGGCAACGCCAAAGATTAATGTCATTCCTTTCCTTTTGGCAAACTTCCTGAAGCATGAAAATTTCTTTGGTGTCTGGAATATTATAGCATGCTTCAATACACACGCATGCGTCTCCTGCATGATGGAACACATGGTGGAAATGATAGCTGGATGGTTCAAAGCGACATTGTTCATATATTTAATTACTTTATTTATTTGAACTAACAATCATCCTTTTTATGTTGCCTTAATATGTAATCATTTTTAAAATACAGGTTGAAACTTTAATCATATTGCGCCTTACGTTTTATTATTGTTATTATTATAATTATAACCAAGAACTGCTGCCATTAGACATGAAATATTCAATATTATTGACTATTTTTGTGACAGGATCTAAAATTTCCGTAATAATCCTTGTAAAACACAGCTTCTATTCCTCTGATATTATTTTGGTTTTATATTATTTTGTAGTCATGGTTCGTGACTGTATTCACGTTTTCTTTTGTTAAGTTCATCCCAGATTGTCCTTCAAGTTGATTACGTGATCGATGCTTCGAGCGCTTCAGAGACTTTCAAAAAAATGGTGTTTATTATTTTGAATATAACAATGATTTCATAACATATATCCGTTCCTATTAGTAATGCTTTTTTATCCATAGAAAATTATATATAATGTAACTTTATTGTACAATATTTATTTAGAAATTAAAGGTTCAAACTAATACTGTTTCATTGAATTCAAAAATACTATAATTATGTATATCAATTACCAATGAAATGAACCATTACAAGTTATAAAAAATAATAGCAATATGTGAAACGAACAAAAATTTTAACCAAAACAAAATATTTCGAAATTAAGTGTTTATAGGAAACAAATATTTATTTTCTTTAGTTAAAACGAATAAAAGACGAATATAATATATTCTTTTTAACAGCACATTTATGTTAACTGAACCGAAATGGCAGCTATTTCAGACGAAATCCACATAAACAACTAAATATTTGCAATTCGTTCCATGAATGAGAGACGTCTACGTTCTAGCTACTTCCTTTGACCACTCCGAAATTGTTAGTTCATGCATGATTTCACTTCTTTTGTTAATGTTATACTGGAAGCAATATGACTCATTGTAGGTAGTGGTAGGATGGTAGAATGGTACCATGATACAAACCATATCATCAGTTTAAATCAGAAAAATGATATGTAATGTCTTCATGATAACATCTTAAATTGTAAGGCATTTCTGAAATTATTTAATATATTCATAGATAGCCTCCAAAAAATCTGAATCCTTTGGGTACACGGTTAAGATATCGCTTTAGATTTTCGACTTGTTTAGATAATAGATATAGATATAGAGATATAGATGACCTGGTGTGGTGACCTAGAATGATCGATGTACATTTGAAATGCGAATTCCAGCAAGTATTTAGACAACTACGATGTGTCAAATCATTTCCATACACATGGCCTGCACTGTCATGTTTTGTGATTCATCGGGGTCGAACATTGTTATCTACATCGAACTCACAGTTTTAAGTAACTATATTTATGATATCGAGTACAATAATTGTAAAATCCCACCAGAAATATATTAATTACTCATTTATATAATATACAAAATTAACGTCCAATGAGATTGTGACTCAAATTGTTTGGATAATCTTATTTAAATATATTCTGTTCAAAAAGTATAAAATGTATATACGAGTACGGTATATCAATTGTGTATGTGTTATAAAGCTGATGTTAATAAAATTATTTTAGATACAATTCACAAAGATTTTCATGTGGAGCAGACGTGTAGTAACCTACTCAATAAATCTTATCTAGATAAGATAAACTTACCAAACAATATTTTGAGAAGGCTATTATTCTCATAGATTTTAAACATACATATATTTAATTTAAAAATAATTTCTGTGTACAAGTATATTTGTAAAATTATCTTTAAAACCTCCCTTCCCATTTAATGATAACACTGGCATACGTAGGGCACTTAATAAAAAGCAAATAATAAAGCTAGCCAAAAAAGAGCTATTACTGGTCCAGCACCAATATTATCCAAACATAACTTAAATCCTCCGCAATCAAGGGCCTCACACACATACGCGGCCACACCTACAAACACACACACACACACACACACACTGATATCGACCTCAAACTTATATCACGCCTCTTTTTATTACAAGGATTAAAAAATATTTTTATTTTTTCTATTACAACTACACTTCCAAATTTAGTGACATTCTAATACTGTACTCATCAAAAATTGTTTTAGTAAAATATGGGATAGTTCTTGTTATATGACTGCTTAAAAATATTTGTTGCCTCTATTACGTATTTGGAGTATCAGAGACGTTGATGAGACTACGGGATATACCATTGATGACTTAATGTGACACTTGTCGAAGTTTGACCTTAACTTTGGAACACCACGTGGAGTCATTTATTTGAATAATTAGTGTATTACTAATACATAATTAATAACCATACCACTGACTCATAATGTTCAGTTTAATAATAACAGATGTGAACATGGTAAACTATTGATTTAAACTCTAAATAAGTCAATTCTAAAAATATCTGCAATATCCATTATGATTAAACAATATTTTATACACTAAGTTCATTTAAACAACGAATTTCTTTCTTTATCTCAACTGATTTTTAATAAATTATGAGTTAAATTTATTCTTTGATCAACTCAAATAGTTATTTTAACAAATTTAACAAAAAATATTATTATGATATTCTTGTGAATACGCATTATTTTATAATCAATTCTATAACCTATTACGAGCGGAAAATGACAATACATATTTCCATTTGAGCGAAAACCCATCTTGCATCATTTGACTATTAGTTATTAGTAACAACACGTGTACGAAGTACGTGTGTGCACTTGTGGTGTTAGAAAATATTTTATACATCACGAAGTTGTTAAAAAAATCTGATTATTCAAGAAAACGATTAAATAATATAAACTGGTTTATGGTTACTTCAACGATAGAAGGTAATCAATTATAGAAGTAACAGAATAAGAAGCACCTACAGAGACTAACACTACTCAAGTTCATACCAAATTTCTGATCGAAGGAATGCGCTTTAACGCATAATTATGTGATTATTGCTCTCTTAATAAGTTGTACTACAAGACAATGTTCTAAAGAAACATGGAAATTCACTATTATTGTGTTATTATTTAATCAACTTTCTATAATTTTTATAATTTCTGTGACACCACCCATATGTATTTAACTTAAAAACTTTAGGTAAACTTTAGGTAAACTTATACATAACTAGCTTTCCGCCCGCAACTTCGCCCGCGTGGAGTTCGGTTATATCGCGATTCCAAGAGAACCTTTCAAAAGTCTGGGATAAAAATTATTCTATGTTCTTTTTCAAGGTCAACTCTATCTCTGTACCAAATTTTATTAAATTCAGTTCAGTAGTTTAGGCGTGATAGTAACTAACAGACAGACAGAATTACTTTCGCATTTATAATATCAGTAGGGATTGTATATTGACGTATCTTTCTTTAAGCATTATATTATGTCACTTACAGACTTTATTAAATATCAAAATGCAAAAACTGTCATATTTTGCCAGAAACACAGAAAATTTTAAGACACAAGTTAACCCTTTTTGAAATCTTGTTTATTAATCCCACTATTTCATATTTATAATGAAATACACAAACATCTTATTTTTAAATTTTTTGATATCTAAATCTAATTTTGTTTCGACTCCAAAAATGGAACTTGACTAACATTAAATTTAAGTTTTTATTTGCATTCTAATGTAAACAACTAAAAATAAAAAAATAAAATCATGAACGAAACACACATTTAATTTTATAAATAAATACTTAACATCATAATAATACCTTTAAAAAATTTATTGCTACTGAAGTATTGAATACCATTTTTAAATGCCTTCAATTATGGGAATTAACTGTAAAACATTATGGGACGGATATTCCTATGTTTTTTGTTTCACAAAATTGTAGAAATTGTATAACTACAAACAAAAATTATATAACTACAAACAAAACACCTACTAGTAATTAAATACAACAACATTACAATGCAGATGCTCTAGTCTGGATTTAGCAGCAGTTATAATAGTAATAAAAGAAATTTTGGCATCGAAGATGCAGACGTAATCATCACAAATAAAAATTTTCTGAACATTCTAAAAATATCACTTTTAAAAATATTACAACTTACATACATAAGTGAAAATTGATTTGGTAGAATTGAAATTAACATTCATATATTTTTAAAGTCAGCCATAGATTTACATAATTTTAGTTAAACTAATTATGTTTATTTGTTTGTACCCACGATGCTTAAATTTATCGAACATTTTGTACAATAAAAAAAGTATCAATGTCAGTTCTAAAAACTGATGTAAGCAATAATATTTCAGTTCCTAAAATTCTTTGATGGGCCCATACATGCTTGATAATTTTTCCACAATCTTATTTATATTCTGAGGATCACAAGCTTTTCGAGTGTTGAAAGTCTTCGTACAATTATAATTAGCAAAGCATTTCTCCAATTCGTCGTGTTGCTTCCCGCAACAATATAATATAGCTCCCTCACAAGAAACTTCCAGTGGTTTTGAAGTTGTTGCCTGTATATATAAAAAATTAAATTATATATACATATAATAACTACGTAACTATATTCTGTAATATACGGTAAAAAAGTTTAGTAAAAGGTTTAAACACTAACCTCATCTTCGTAATTTCTTTTTTCCAATGGGGAAGTAAAATCATATTTCTTAGAAGCGAATGATTTGAATGAGCCCGGTCTTGCACCATCGTCTTCTTCTTCAGTCTCATCTACATCTTTATTTGGAGAATTCATCCAGATCATGTTAGGATCATCAACGATTAATCTTGGCTTAATGGTTATATTTTGGTTTGGTTTTCCTTTGAAATTTTCAGGAACTTTATACGGAATGTATACAACTTGAATAGATGGTGGTGGTGGTGCCGGTGGATTCTTTGTTCGTGTTGCCAGCTCTTCGACTATAGACAATAATTTACGTATCGTTTCTTCACAATTACAACTATAATCCCTTCTATCATAATTAAAAGGGTTATATTGATTATTTCTTGTTAAATAATTCAGACTAGCCGCTATCTCTCTTATTGAAAATGTCATGTCTGTTAAATATTCGTCTAACCCATTATTTCTATAATATCTCCTGTTGTCTGGATAATTTGAAAAATAGGATTGTCTGCGATTTCTTGAATGTCGTTCAGGTCTATGACTGGAATGTTTTCTTTCAATATTATTATTTACTTCTCTATTTTTTTTCATTTTGATGAGCAGATCGTCCATCGACTATAGTACACATATAGTACACTATTACTAAAATAATTAATTGATGCTTCATCTGAAACGAAAACAAAACTTTATGAAAAATAAAACCAATTAATAGGATTTTAATTAATTATTAAACCTAACAAATTGTTCTATAATTAGTCACTGTTGGTATGGAAAATTTCATTTGAACATAACAAAGTTTTTTTGCTAGACACCTCCGATTGAATATATTAAAATTTAATACTGCCAGATATTTTGTCTTAATAACTGCATTTAATTGATAGATTGACGAAATTTAAATCAACTATTAATATGAAATTTCGGAGTGTTGAGAATTTCAAAATTATATTTATTTTAGCTAACAATTTAATTCAAATTATGAGTTATCACTGAGTATAAATATCGTTTTCATTATATTACAATAAATAAATGTAACTGCAACAAGAAAAAACAATTTGAAACAAAGTCAGTTAAAACTAGTCTACGTTGAATGGTCCTGTTTATTCTGCATCGTATAAAAAATACAAAAAGACTTTGCGGAAACGTTGGTTCACTTATAAATATTACAAATATTACAAATGAATATAATGACAACTTACCTTCCTATATTAGATTTGAGTTATAACCTTTTGAACTAAGACTAATGAAACCACAATCTATATTACTTTAAATTAAACGTTGTTTTTTTTTACCGTAATATATCCTCACACAACTACCACTCGCGAAAGATCTATCTGCACTAAACAGAGAGCGCAAATGAAACGACCGAGACTTTTCTGGCAGCGTAAATGGAATCTGTACCATGGAATGCGCGCGCGCAACTTTATATAATAAGTATTTATTATAAAAATATTTTACCTACCATATGTTGGTTTATAAATTTATTACGTACACTTAGAATTTGGAACATGAACAATGTCCACCAACCAAGATAAGTAGCTATATGGCATTGTTCGGGGAATTAAAAATTAATTTCCCTATACCAATTTATAAAGGGAAACTAACAGCAGGAGGATAAATTATAGTAACGAAATTAGACCTTCGTGCTTATGTAATTAAAATTTTGATTTCATTATTTTACAATGATGTTTAATTTAGAGTTTTCAAATAATGACTAACCGATCAATTCTTTCGTACCAGCAGAGTTGAGTTCATTAACGTGCAATGTTCAAAAAGTCACATTATTTGTCAAAAAATATTTATAAAAGGAGAGGATGTTTTTTTATGAAATATTTATAGATAGTTATATGGTTATTTAAGGTGACAATTTATTATTTATAATAAATCTATGTGTCAATAGTATTATTAATCTCTTTGTCCTTTTGTATTTAGTATTAAAAATTTCTATTTTCGAGATAAAGAAATACGTAACAATAAGCAAAAAAAATCTTGTACCTTCGTGTTTACAATGCATTTAAATAGGATTTTCTACAAAGGATTAATTTCTTTAAACAAAAACAAAAAACGTTAACGTTAGTATTTTTTTTTAAAACGACTACCATAATTATTGCGTATTACATATATTAATAACTTCTTGTAATTATTTCCTTTTTGTATTTTATACATATTAAGCAGCATCTGACAAGAAACGTTTAAGTATCTTGTTAATGTAAAATGTAAAGGCCAATAAAGTTGCCTTTTCTTTTAATATATTTTTCAAGGTTTTATATAAATTTAACATATTTCATATATATGTATATTAATTCGCTACCTAAATATACCTACATATATTGAAACTTTAAAACTTATTTTCCGTACTGTCAAAGTAAGAAACATTCAGGACAAATATTATTTTAGGTATCATTTTTAATTAGTACAAAACACAATTTCTTTTACATTTATTCGCACTACAATATATTATAATTTCCTTACTTCCTTAGAAATGCTATATACTGATATGGTTCTACCGCGATCGACAAACTATGAACGGTTTAACCTTCGGCAGTTTTTTGAATAGAAGTTTATTTCGATATATATTTTTTTATTAATAAAAAAATTGTAGACCGCACAATATAAAGTGTAGATTATTCGAAATCAAAATTTAGTAAAAATTGTCATATTTATTAATAAACATAGACATCATTATATTTGAAATCCAAAAAGCCTAGTGTATTATCCAAAAAGTCAAATGAGTAACTAGTCATCTTCAAAACAGATTGGATGGCATACATTTTTATATCTGCTGATAGTTAAATCTTGAATCAAATTTTTGTTTTAAAAAAAAATTATTATATTAAAGAAGAAGTTTCATTCTTTCTTAATAACTGGATATATCTTACATTAGGATAAACAGATTTGACATTTCCATTTTTATACTACTACGTTGTTTTATCGGTTAATATTTTAACAATAATTTGTTCACAGTGATGTTCACAGTTTCATTGATTCAAACATTTTGTTATGATTTTAGAGGGAAAAAAAATATGACAGATAAGGAAATTATACGAATTTATAACTTTAATATATCCTAAAATTCATTTATTTTTAGTCTGCTTTCAGTAAATTTGTATGGATAAAAAATAGAACTAAAACAATTTTGTGTTCCTTCGAGTTTCTGCAATTTCAAGGGCAAATAAGCTGGATTCTTGTGGCATTCCAGTCGCCATTACTCGTCTGACAGTCGTCTGTACCACTTTAAGCGATTGAGTATACCCAATATCTTGTTACGATGTGCTCTGTCAGAGTTATGAATAGAAAGCCACAAGAACATTTTTGATTCAATATAAAAACTTCAATATAAAAATAAGTACAGTTTATTTAAAAATATTGTGTTGCGATTAAATATTAATAAAAATGTTGTGGTAATTGCGGCTCTTAGAATCAACACTTTTGTTGAATATTATTGTAGAGTAGGTCATGTTTAGTTTGAGTTTACTTTCGATGGATGTGAATCATTTAGTTATCGCGTTTAAGTACATATAGTTAGTGTGTAGTTCTACTAATATGTTGTTCAAAAACATACGTATGTAGGTCTTTATTGAACTGATATATGTATATAACTACTACAATAATATTTATTGTTTAATGGAAAAAATACTTAAGGATGAATGCCTGATTATTTTTAAAAAATCTAATTACTACTTGGCTGAGATAAGATGATATGCTATGAGATATTATTGTATTTCTAAGCCAAAATTCGCTGGATCGAAGTTAGATGAATTTATTTCCAGTTCTGTTTCTAGCAAAGATTTATTGGGATATTGATGTCAATCTTGTCATATTTTCGTACCCATTTAAAAATAAATTCCAATCCAATTTATACTGAAATGTACGAAGAGTTTAAAGAGTTATGAACAGAACTCGGTGATTTTAAAATACCAAAAATAATGAATTTTAAAAACTCAACGGCGATAGCTCCTAAAATACATATGAGCTGAAAAAATTGTACACTTCAATTAAATTATTTTTATTTATTTATAAAAACAACATAACAAAAGAGGATTATAAACGGAAAACAAAATATAAAAGTTCCTTATATAAATAGTTAGTAATGTTCAGTGATTTAATACTGAAGATCCTAAAGACTTTCGTCAATAACATAATACAATTTAATTGTATTGAATTATCAACACCTTTTAATATCTAGGGTTTTTAAAAGAAAAGAAAAGAAAAATTTTATTTAACTTACAGTCAAACTAATATAGTTTTCATTCATCGAAATCTCAATTAGTTCAATGTTTTAGTTAAATTAAATTTATTATTTATTAAATAAATTAAAGCTGCATTAGTTAAGGAAATACTATATCTGTCAGATTCTACAACTAGAAATATATAGCACTAAAAATGTTAAACATATGACTTTCTAAATGCCAAAAAAATACTGATTTATGGATTTCTTAAGAACTAGCTTATCTTATACTAATAGTCATCGACGGGACCATAAATTTTTTTAAATTTATTAAGAACCATTTCTATGGCTTTAGGATGACAGGCTTGTTTGAGATCGTAATTCTTTAAGCATTTATAGCTGGCGAAACATTCGCTGCGTTCTTCATTTTCCAATCCGCAACACGATAATACGGCTCCTTCACATACGGTATGCTTTTTAAATGACCTTGGAGTCGTTGTTTGAATCTGAAACAAAGAATTTTAAAAAATCAATATACTTATATGAAAAGAGACGAACCTCTTAGCATCCAATGGATTCGACTTGCGGGTGCCGGGTCCATCGCGCTGCAGGGAGAGGAGCTCCAATAGTGCCTGGGACTTCGACCCAGATGTAAGTTTAAAGGGGCCCCTATCTAACGCGAGTTAAATGCTCACCTCCACTGTCCAAGCTCCTCTCTCTCTACGTAGCCAAATTTGAAAAGAACCTACTAGGGCTGCCTTCGACGTACGTAACAAAGTTGTTTAATCTTAATTTTCGAAAATAATGTTCTTTAAAATGGAATTCACTATTTTGTCATTTTTGTCATTTTAATATAATACGATGTTTAAAAATACAAGTATTGTGTTTTAAATTATTCGAAACAATAGAAATAAATTACAATTTGACGTTTTCATTTGTTAAGCATGGATGAAAAAAAAGTTATGAATAAAAATCATGACCGTGACCGTGAGTATTTTGTTGCTGTTTTTGTTCTCGTCATTAATATGTTGAATAAATCATTTTGTTTAACATAAATACATTATATTTTGCACAGAAATACCAAAAAAATTAATGTAATTTGTAAGAAAATAAATAATGAATTTTAAATTACTAATAACATAAAAAAATTAAAAAAGCATTAATATCAATACCAAAATAAAACAAACACAGTCAAAATTAAGATACCGTAACAAGTATTACATTTTTCATTATTACAATTTAACGAGTTTATAGCATATTATATGGCATTAATGTATTTTTTAAGTGGTTTTCATTTCTCCCTACACAGTGAAATTAGACAAAAATAGACCGATTAGTGAATGAATAACGGCCGATACTAAAATAGAAACTACACTTAAATTTTTACAACACCCTTATCTGAAAGATCAATTTTATTGTTCCATAATTTCTATAAAACATGTATGAATCTCTAGACTTTTACCAATTATTAGACCGAGTAAGATTAGTTTTGAAGCTTACCCTTTCTTGCTTGCTGCCGTGTTCGAATTGAGGAGGTTTGCTCGTAGGCCTCTTTGGAGAAATTGGTTTAAATGAGACCGGTCTTTTACCATCGTCGTCTTCATCTTCAGCTGATACCTCCTTTGGTGAATCCAGCCAAACTCTATTTGGATCGTCCAGGACTATTGATCTAAACCCAACGCTCACATTTTCTTGTATACCTTTGATATTTACAGGCACTGGATACGGAATGTATACAACTTGAATAGGTGATGGTGCAGGCGGATTCTTTGTTCGTGATGCAAGCTCCTCGACTATAGATAATAATTTACGTATCGATTCTTCACAATTACAACTATATTCCCTTCTGTCATAATTAAAAGGGTTATATTGATTATTTCTTGTTAAATGATTCAGACTAGCCGCTATCTCTCGTATAGAAAAGGTCATGTCTGTTAAATAGTCATCTATTCCATTACTTCTGTACAACCTCATGTTGTCTGGATAATTTCCGTTAAAGGATTGTCGTCGATATCTTAACTGGCGTTCAATTTTATTATTGACATGTTGCGTTGCACTATTGTCGTCTATTTTAGTATTTGTTTCATGTTTATCCAAATGTCGACCGTCAACTCTTATTACGATATGAAATATTATTGATAAAACAATAAAATGATACCGCATCTGTAACAAGAATAATTGATGATTATTGGTTTTGATAGTTTCATTCAAGTTAAACAGAAAATCAATTTGAATAAGTCTTCTACTTATGAATTAAATTTATTCATCAGGTAGAGCGTGTAATTGATACACAATTTTAGCTCTATTACATTGTTCACAATATCAAAAAATAAATAAACAAAACACTGAATTAAAATTATAATTTACATCAAATACTATTTTCATTTTTTAATATTGGGACCAGTTTTTTATTCCATGAATAAGATATAATAATTCATAATTATTATTGTCGTGCTCTTACCTTTAAGTTTTGCAGAACAAAGTAAATAAACTTGTATCATGTATTTCTATCAGTAAAAAAAGCACAATTCGTATCTTCTCGTTAGGGCTTCTTCAACACATCCAACGCGTGTGAGAGTTCGCTCAATACTGAATACTCAATAGCGATTAGCGAGCTACTTATCTGGCAGAATGAAAACTGCCAGTATGCGCAAGCGCACCTATATAAATATATTTTCAAAGCGTGTTATCTGAAAGTATAATTTGATCCGAGTCCGTTTATTTTTTCTATCTAATAATGGTATACAGTAAAAATAATATGATTTATATACAACAATCAAATATTATGTTTTCTATTTATTATAAAGATACATACCATAAATTTACATGTACTTTTTCTTTATATGGAATTCTTAAAATATTAAAGTTATAAATCGACTTGAATGGTATTTTTATTATGTGAAATATACATTTTTTATTTGTAATTATCTTTGGATTATAATCAAAACGTTGGTTTAGAATCAATAAAATGAAAAATAACAGGGAATTACATTTGATATTCTGTGTCAATAAAAAAAAATAAGGATATTTGGTAGAAGTCCTTCACCCCGACTTTTAGTTTTATAAAATTTATAGTATATTTTGAGTACTAAATATCACTTAAATAGCAAATAGACAAAAATGTCATAAATTTTATAGCAATTTAGAAGTGACAAATTCACACAATAGAATTTTTCATTGTTTCTAGAGCATCATGTTAGTATGAAAGATTTTTAGCTACGGTCTATGTTAAATCTCTTCATACTTGAACAATTGGTAATTTGGTATGTTTTTCTTTTAATATATCGCCACATATTTTAACTTGTATTCTAATTCAAACCTAAAAGACCCTTCATAATATCGTAACAAGAGAAGTTTAGAATAATAACAATATGGTAAGACATTCCTTATGATCAATCTTACAAAGTGTTAAACTTTTATTTTCATGCGCAAAGTCCATGCTGTGGTAAAAATGCAAGAGTTCGCAGATTATTAACGGACAGTAGAATTGTAATATGAAATTATTTATTAAAAAAAATCAAAGATCCATGACATTTATGTATATTAATAAAGAAAAAACTTAATGGGAATCGGATTCCTACCGAATTCCAGTGAAATAAAATTTTACTGTAACTGTTGCCACGATGTACTAAATTTGTTTCAAACCTGCCTATGGGGACTACCTCAATCCGGTGGTGAGATATAGGGCCTCAATAAATTTCCCTTATTAGGTTGCCTTTGAATGGTAACGTCTCATGGTAATATATATATATCGCACTGCCAGATAGACAAAATGGAGATTATAATCATGTAATAATAACTGAAAATAGTAAAGCAGGTTCTACATCTTTTATTATTTTATAAATATATTTTTTTACAAAGTCACAAAAAACCCAAAAAAGAAAGCTAAAACGATAACTTTTGTGTGAAAATCTTCTATATATATAAAAATGGATTGCTGTTCCTTAGTCTCGCTAAAACTCGAGAACGGCTGAACCGATTTGGGTAATTTTAGTCTTGAAATACTCCTGGAAGTCCAGGGAAGATTTAAAAGGTGAGAAAAATTGGAATAATTGCCGGGAAACCCTAAAAACAGCCCTTATCTATTTCCCATACAAACTTTTTTTTTACATTAGATTTGACAACTAACTAATATGTCAATCATTCTGTTTGATTGAAACAGGAAAAACCTGATTATTTGTGGTCTCTAAGACTTAATAGAGTTCGCTTGGTCAGCTATACCTACATATATTACTCTTGACCAAACTAACGCGGACGAAGTCGCGGGCAAAAACTAGTCGAAAATATTTATAGAATAAACTGATTGTTTAGCATCCAGTAGTCATGAGATTACATTTAAAACATAAACAATTGAAGAGCTATTAGCTTCGCATGCGATTAAAACTAACATTAACCGGCAAGATTAAAAAAAAAAAAGGATTGAATTGACCAATGTTTTTAAATGGCTGATTGGTGGATTCCCAACATCTTAAGCCAAACTGTAATTGAAACAAGAGTTACTTACTGAATACATCCTGAAGCGATGAGGAAATATGTATATCTTATATGTTATAAATAATAGTGCACACTTGAATTTACACTGAGATATACCTGAATGTTTTTTTAATGCCCTTAAGATAAACTATGAAGATACATGTTACATATTGAATAAAAAGCGAAAAATTTCTTCGTTGCAATGTATAAATAATATAATCACTTTTTATATTTTCACTATATATATTTAAGGATTATTTATAAAAAGAAGCCACTAAAAATATTTTATAAATTATAAATTTATAACTTTTATATTAAATAACATTTAGGATGTTACTTAGCAGAGGTAAAGACGCAAAAAAGTTGAAAATACTCCTAACAGTAAATCTAACAGTACCTTGTGACTAACAGGAATTAGAAAGTAAAACAGACTTAAAAATTTTTTAAGAGGTGGTCTGCCTTTAAAGTCTTAGCTCAGTATTTGTTTTAATAAAGATCAAGGCTATATGTAAAAGGTATTATTTTAGGAAGTAATTGCCTAACGCTATGGGATATTTAGACGACAAGGTTTTATTATTGTCCACAACACCGTGAAATTAGCGTTACAAGAGGCTTAAGGCATTTAACTATACATTTTAACACTACATATAGGAGATGAATATATATTATGAATTTGTTTTAGTTTCGTGAAGCCTGATCAATATAAAATCCTGCATGCAATTCATTTTTTTTTAGTTAAAAAATTATTAATGTAGAAAAAGAACTATTCAAATCTCTTCATGGGTCTATGCAAAAATTGCTATCGTATATAATATTTTTACAACAAAAACACCATTTACATAGATAAGTGTGTGTGGGGGTGTCAATTTTGAATAATATTATTGTTTTACATTAAATGGACACCTTTTATTTTTATAGATATTCAAATTCCAAGTCTTTAAGATTATTATTAACCGAATAATTACTTGCTTAGTGTTCGTTCACTTATTTTAGAGGTAAAGTTGTTTAGACCCTAATTTTGCAATATTTTTTAAAGTAAACTTAATTTTTATACAATTTTCTTGTGAAATTTAAATAGGACTATTTACTACTGACGATAAATTTAAAGAAAAATTACTTTGATTATTTCAATTCAAAAGGAGCAACACAGAAATTGCCGACTAAATTGCAACAAAACCACAAATTATTTTAAGCGCACTCTACTCTGTGAACAATTAATTTATTGTCAGTTAACTTGTACATTTTGCAACGTTAAATTTTACGATCTACAGACTTTTGGCCCAGCTTTTATATGTTTTTGGCTTAGAATTCAGTTTTGTTTATATTGTACAAATTGTTATATGATGTTGTTTTTAAAGAGCTTATGTACTTATGCCAACCCTTTTTTAAAACTTTTGTCTATCCGTTATTATCACTTAATTTATTCTTATAACTTTTAACAAATAACTGGTTTAAATAGATTTGTAATACATAAATAAATATATTCCCGTAATAACTACTGTAACATTTAAAACTATATCCTATTTCATTCAAGATATTTCTTTTTTATATTGTGTGACAGCTGCTGGTTTTTTCACACTTTTCCGGACTACAATTTTTATTTCATCAACAAATAAATTAAAAAGACCATTCAGTTGTTTTGGAGTGCTAAAAATTCAATCACACTTTTTAGAAAAAAATAAACTAGTTTACCTTGTTTTAAAGCTACGTATTTTTTAACATTATTTCCTATTTTTCGTCTTTTAAATATCGCTATCACATAAATGTACTAAAAACTGTACTGGCTTAAATTTTTCATACATTTCTATTCAAATATTATTAAAGGGTATTGGAGTAAGGATAAATTATTAGAATCACTAAAGCTTCTACTGTTTAAAAGCCTTGTCATGTTGGTGACCTCATAAATGATTAATAAGGAAGCAGTTAAGTTAGATAACCACAGCTCCACGCTGGAGTCCTTTGTATGAAAAGGAATGCGGCTTGGATTTTTGTTTGAACTGAACTCGATCTAAGTATAAATAAATCTAGTTTAGACTCGCTAAACTACTACCTCTATATTTAAATATATATGTACTTCTTCCTTTGAGTTAAATAAAACGGTTCAGATTATTTATGATTACAATATTTTATTGGTTTTCTATTAAGAATATCATTAAAACAACTTAAAAATGGATATTAGGAGAACAAACTTAGAAATTAAATGGTGATATTAATTGCTGAAAAATTTTAATAACAATAACATAACTTTCTAGTTTTTAAATTTAAAAAAATATTTTTTCTCTATACGATTAGTTATGACAAATATTCTCGGAAAATATTTCTATATTTATAGAAGTACATTCTAAGGCCTATTTTTTATTTATAAGTTTACATTCATATTTAAAGAATTTATTAATATGATTTTATTATTCTTAATCCTTGCAAATAAATACAATTGATTTTATATTTATTGATGAGAAAACTAGGAATTACGTTCTACATCAATTTAACTTTTATTTCAA